TCCCCAGAAGAGGCTGGCCCCAACGCCAATGACGACTGGGCTTCAGGGCACTTGGACATGGGCCCACCCAGGCCATTAAGACTGGGGGTGTAGGGCTTTGTAAATCCCTACTCACCGAAGCCCCCTGCCTCATTTGGGGCAGCACAGAGTGTCTCGTTGAGGAATAAGGAGGGGCTGCAAGGACTCAAACCCTGGCTTGGCCACTTACCTGCTGGGAGACTTTGGGCAAGTTACCACTTTGGAGTCTTGGTTTCCTCTGCTGTGAAATGGGGCGATGTCCCCCCAAACCTGCCGATCCAGCAAAGATGACATGAGATTATGAATGTACAGGGCCTGGCGCACAATCAACAGCCACTAATTGGTGGCTTCTTTTATTCCTGGTTGACCACTGCTCACTTAGCCTATCTGAGCCAAGAGCCCCAGAGATAACAGATCTCTATTTGACAGGTGGGGAAATTGAGGCTCAGACACGTCAAAAGTCACCTGTCCCAGGTCCCATTGTTGGGGGGGGTACCTTCTGCCACCCCGTAACTGGTGAGGCAAAGTGGCCAATATATGGGCCCGGGGTGGTGACCAAGGTGCTGGGGGAGAGTTTAGGTGTGGGCCTCTGAGACTCGTGAGCTCCTCCCAGTCCCCTAGGCAGAAATGACATCACCTGGCGCTTAGGTAGTCCTCAGCTTATCAAAGGGCTTTCTCAAACATTCTCTCACGCTGTCTGTCCATAACTATCACCAGTGGCTGACAAGGTGAGACCAAGGGCTCAGGCCATATTTCAATGCCAAGTCCTGCTCCTGCCCCGTCCCACAGTGGGTCCCCCACCTCCTGTTCCAGGCCTTCTGCAGGCCACCCTGCTGCACCCTGACCTGGGGAGGACCATCTGGAGAGGGAAGAGAGGCTTCTCGCTGGATCAGGGGCAGGACCACCTGAGGATGCCCAAGGCTCTGAAAGGCTTACCCTGTTCCTGGCCCTGCGAGCCCGGCCAGAGGGAGCAGAGCTGAGGGTCACCGCCTCCATGACCCCCTCACCCCCTCATCATGACACACATGCAGGCAGACAGGGAGAAGCCCTGGCTGGGAGGAACCAGCACGTCCTGGCTCCCCTCCCATGTCCAAGCCCACCCTCAGTCCCCTCAGCCTCCGCGGAGCAGGGCTCCCCACCCCAGACCAGGCCACTTCTGCAGGGTAATTATAGCACTGCTGTTCTTCGACATGCTCTTAGCTAGCCCTCTCAACAGCCCACGAGGCAAGGCCCCTGTCATCGTCACGAGCCTGTGCCAAGGGCACACAGACACGCTCCTAACACCAGGCATGACGCCATTATCCCGATGGCTCCTACCTCAGACTCCGGGCCCAAGACTTCCCATGCATCACCCCTGGAATCCTCACAGCAACCGGTCCTGGTGGACTACTCCTACCCCACAGTATAGCTGAGGAGACTGAAGCACAGACCACAAGTGACCCTCATCCTACTGACCACTACCTCATGGGCCACCATGGCTGCCAGCTTCTGGGCCTCGCTCCTTGGCTCCCCACGCTGGGCATCACCCTCCTACCGTCCTCCCACCCTCCTGGCCAGCGTCCCTGCCTGGCACTGCCCACTTAGCTCCAACCACTCTCCTGGCACCCCCCCCCCACAACATGCCTCTGGCAGCTTTTGAACCGCAAACAAATGACTTGTGTCTGGGTCCCTGGATAAGTTTACACAATGACGGAATGTGAACACTTCCCCGAAGATGAGAGGATGAATTTTTCTTTACACTCAGATCTCACTCCCAAAGGGAAGCAACAGTAACTTTATGGGCTGTCGGGGAAAAGCCCTTGTTTTCCCCCAGTGATGGGGCAGGTGGGGCAACTCCTCCTGGCCTCTATCCCGAGAGCTGGCCTGGCCTGGGCACCTCCCCAACCTAGCCACCATGCGCTGAGGTTAGCCTGCACACTCCCAGTGGGCGCTGATGACCCCACCAGTCCTCCCCCAGCCTGGCTCAGCTGGATAGGAAACTGGGAGCAAATGTGTGAGCTCACTCTGGAAATCCCCACGGGTGGCCAGGACAACACTGAAGACTGCTCCAAAGTGGGTGGTTCAGACCCGAGGGGACGTGTGGAGTTGGGGGAGGAAGCCCAGAGAGTTCATCTCCCCAGATGCTGCACCATGGGGCAGGCAGGAGGCTGGGGCCACCCCAATATTGCCACCACTCATTCTGAACCAAATAGAAGTGCCAGGTGGCTCATTCAAGTCACCTGTTTTTGTTTCAGGATTTTTTTTTTTAAGTCTTATTTAAGTAATCTGTATACCCAATATGGGGCTCAAACTTATGACCCCAAGATCGAGTCACATGCCCTCCTGAGCCAGCCAGGCACCCTCGTTCAAGTCACCTGGACACGAACAGGTACGTGCACGCACAGACACACCCCCTTGACTTCTTCCTGTCCTTATCTGCTCTCTCATCTAGCATGGTTGACAGGAACCCTGTGAAGAGTCTGGCCACCAGTAAAAACACCACCACTGAGGAAGAGCCAGACCCAGACCCCAGGGGCCTCCATGATGTATTTGTGGTGTGACTAATCCCTCCTGCGAGAAGAACAGAAGTCCCCTCCTGGGCAGAGAGAGAGAGAGAGAGAGAAAGAGAGAGAGAGAGAGAGAGAGAGAGAGAGAGTGTGTGTGTATGTCACACCATGTACAGCTGTAGCTCGCACATGAGCGAGCCAGATAGGAATCAGCTGGTGGCTTAGCAGCAGGTAGGCACAAGGTTTTGGGGCCGGGCCTGGGAATGACAGCCCAGGTTCAGTATCAGGCTCTGCTGCTTTGTGCCATGAGAGACACACTGAAAACGGGCCACTATTACAGTTTTCTGTTCAACAAAAAGACGGGAGTGTCACTCCAGCCCTTTAAAGTTAAAAGCAAACAAAAACAAAGCCAGAAAAACCAACCAGAAACTATCACCTGCTCTCCTTCTGTCCTGCTATCGTTCCCAGGCCAGGAGGCCAGGGTCCAGAAGTGAACAGGATGGGAGCAACGGACACTGTCAGAAAACAGGAAGGGAGGGCAGCGGGTGGCCTGGGCTCCTGGGGACGGACAGCTGCTTCACTCCATCCCACCCGTCTAGAACAGCCCCCTCACCTCCATCCCCCGAGAGCTGGGCCAATGTTCCTGAGCCCAACTCAAACCGGAGTCGTCCCTACTGGGGTCCCCCTGGCCTGGCGCTTGGCTAACACCAGGAGCATGGGGTGCCTCGCACTGCCAGCAGCGGGGCCCACCCTGGGGCCTCTTGTCTAACCCAGGTCCCCACAGCCACAGAGGACCTTTTTTTTTTTTTTTTTTTTGCGGGAGGGAAGCAGATTGGGGGAGCCACAGGGAATTAGAAGCCTGTTAGTCCTTGGATGTTATTTTCCTGGTGTACATAACTGGAAGAGTTAGGTGTCAGTTTAGAAGGGAAAATTCCAGGAGGTCACATGGCACCAGGCGTCCATGCCTGTTTCAGCAATCCAGCTTTGGGAAAATCTATGAGAACAGAACTCCCCCCTTCCTCCCCCGCCCAGGGGGATATTTGAGCTCCAGGGCTGCCCTGGCTCACCCTGCATGGGAGGCTGCCTTAAGGGTGAGGGACTCCAGGACTGAGCTGTGAGAGGGCCCTGTTCCCAGCCCCTGGGACTCAGCTCCTCCCCCACGGCACCCAGACCTGCTTTCTGCAGAGACTGTGGTTTGAGCAGGGAAGAGGCAGGTTTATGACACCAGAGGAAGGCTGTCGCTGGGGGAATAACTGTCCTCACACCTCTTATCTCATTTAAGCCTATTTTGTTCCTCCCCTAACTCCTGGGGAAACTGAGGCAAGGAGGGGGCAGTCAATGAGAAGTAACTTGATGGAGCAGGTGCGGCTCCAGGGTCTTTGAACCTCAGCACAGCGCCCACATTTTGAGCCGGTAAATTCTCTGTGGTGGGAAGCTGTCCTGTGCGCTGTAAGATGTTTTAGCAGCATCCCTGGCCTGGACCCACTGGATGCCAATAACTACAGCACTCCCCTCCTTCTCCTGAGTTGTGACAACCAAAATGTCTCCATTGTCAGATATCTCCTGGCACCAAAAATCAGTGCCCTGCTTGAGAACCTCCTACTGCTCTAAAACAAGCTTCACTCTCCACTCTTCCCTCTGCCCTACCTAAAGAGTGAACAGGAACACAGACGCTGGGCTCAGCCTTTTTAACAGCCAATGTCACCAACACGGGGTCCTAAATCTAGCCACTTGGGAGCCAGCAGCCAGTGCCCATGTGGGGTCTTTGGCAAGCCTTCCCCCGCTCAGACACACCCTCTCAGGAGCTCCAACCCTTCGGCTCTCTCCGCTTAGACTCACCGGGTTAGGCAGGGGCTGAGACCTCGGCTTCCCCTCTGCCCTGGGATGGGAGGGTGCGTCTAGCAGGCATAACCCTTTCTAACCCTAACCTAACCCAAGGCCCTGCAGGAACATCAAAGGGGGCCAACCTTCCCAAGCCCCTCACAGTCCAGAAGTCAGGACTTCTGGGTCCAATCTCTGAGCTTCGATCTAGCCTTGCTGTGACTCCACTCCCTCGCACCTGTTTCCACCCTGGCGAGGCTGAAAGCACAAACTTCGCTTCGGAGTTGAAAGGGGAGGGAAGGGTCTGAGTTCAAGGCGCTTCGGGGAGGAAGGCGGGACTGCGCGGTCCTGTCCCCTGCCAGTCCCCTCTCTTCCTCCCGGGGCCTTAAACTTCTGCCCAATCGTCGTGCCCTTCCCACATCTGGTGACCCGTGGCCAAGGGACCCCTTCGGCGTCTTGTCCCAGCCGAGCCCCAGGGACCGGCAGACCCGGTCCAGCCCCGACCTCTGGCCTCCGGCGCGCCCCACGTGGGGCCCGAGCGCTCCAGCAGGGCGGGCACCCTCGCGGGCCGCGCACCGCCGCCCCGGGCGAGGCTCGGGCCCGACCCCGCGGACCCCTATGGCGCCTGCGGCCCGGCCGCCGCGTGCCGGGCTCCGCCCTTTGCCCCGCGCTCACCTCCCTGCGGCCCCACGTCCCCTGGACGCAGCTCCGAGCGGCGCGGGCCAGCGGCTGGGCGGTGGCTCCTGGGGGCGGGGCCCCGGCGCTCCGCCTCTTCCCCACCTGCGCGCGGGCCGTGGGGGCGGGGCGGGGCCGGGGGCGGGACCGGGGGCGAGGGGCGGGGCCAGGGCTCAGGTCGGTGCGGGAAGCCGCGGCCGACCCCGCGGCTCCCCGGACTTGCGCGGGTTGCTGGGTGCTCCGCCCCCTGGGGAGGGGGGGGTGCCGGTCTGGGCAGAACCCTCTTTTCCGCCTGAGCTGGTCTCTTCCGGGCGCCGTCCTCTCCTTCCCGGACAAAGCGCATGATCTAGGTCTGCACTGCCATCACGTCACCCCCCCACCCCCCGAGAAAAGTCACTCCAACGACGACCACCTCCCATCCGCTCCCGCCAGCTCCCTCATTCTAAGGCCAAGTGGGCCTGTTCCTCGAGCCTTTAGCTCTTTACCTTTTCGTTGTAAAGCATTTGGAGCATCTCAGTTACTCCAAATCCCATTGCAGCTCCCGCCTCGGGGAAGCCTCTGATCTCGGCCCTCCTCATTCTCCTGGGGGCGGAGGCGCCCTCCTAAGCCGGGTCTTGCTCAATTTCCCCCGCCCCCATCCGCCCGCCGCCAGGGCCGGGAGTGCTGGTCCCTGGGAGAAGCCCGCGCTGGGTGCCTGCGTGGGTGGCCGGAGTCTCTGGAGGAGTCACAGCAATCTCCTTTAGGGCCACCCAGTGAAAACTCACGTTGTCTCTGGCCCGGCGACACACAACCTTCCTGATGGGGCCGAACCTTGGCTCACACGGGCGCCTGCAGCAGGGGAGGAAAGCGCTCAGGATCTGGAGATTCGGCGGGCCCAGCCTCGAGGACGGGGTGGCCTCGGTCCAGGCCCTAGCCCCTCTGACCCTGTTCTTAATTTGCAAAGTCGCAAAGCCTTCCTGGCCTCACGTGGTTGGCAGTGGGGGTGCAGCGAACAGAACCTGTGAAAGGCTGCGTCACCAAGTGTTAACTAGTGGGCTTGTTATCACAAGGGTGGGGGCCGACAGCCAGAGGACCCAAGTTCAGATCCTGACCCTGCCCCCGGCTACGGCTGTCTGTGTGGCCTTGGACAAATCCTGCAACCTCCCTGAGCCTCGGCTTCCTCCTCTGTAAATGGGGGTCATGATAGGCCCTGCCTCTTGTAAGAAGAGCCACGGCGGTGGGGGGCACCTGGCATTTGCTACGTTACTGTCAATACTACGATACTGCTGTTCCTGTTGTCACACTAGGACCCCATTTCTCATCAGTTCTGAGCCAATTTCTACGCCCTCTCAGCCCAGAGGAGCTGGCCTCTGGTTCCTGATCTCCCTGTGGCCCGGCGTCTCCCTAGCTCAGCGGCTCCCCGGGGTTGCTCTCCCCTGCCCCCTGGGCACCCACACTTGTGGGGTCCCACCTGCAACAGCCCTGTGGGCAGGGCCAAAATTGGTGAGCCTCCCCCCTCCTAAAGGCATTGACAGGACCCGCCCGATTCCCTCCAGGGTGGGGTGTGGGCGGGGTGGGTGCCGGGTGTCGTGGGCCCTTGAGCCTCTGCGAGCCCTGGGCTGCTCTGTCCCTCTGCCCTCCTGGCCCCTTGGCCGGAGTCTGGCTCCCCACGTGGACCCTTCTTCCCCCTCAGCAGGGAGAGGACTTGGCCTAGCCTCCTCCTTAGGCCTAGACAAAACTGTGGTCAGGGGAGCTGGGAGGAACTCCAAGGTCTGCAGGCCCCTTTCTCAGCCCTGGAGGCGCTTATCTTGCCCTACCAGCTTTGCCTGGAGGAGCAGAGTTTGAAGGGAGGCTCTGCTGGGGGGGAGGGGGTCTGGACGTGTGGGACCAGAATCCGGCAGTCCTGTTGGCCTCAGGGGACAGCCAAGACCCTGGCCCCTTACAGAGCTCCTAAGTGGGCTGGGGGAGGGGGGGAGGTTAAGAAGTGAAAAGAGGAGGAGGGGCTCCTGACGGCTGGGGATTATCCAGAGGAAGGCATCCCTCCTTGTCCCCATCCCCCAGGCCTTGGGGGTGGGGAAAGGGCCAAGGCTGGAGGGTTGCTCCCCAGTAACAAATGCAAGGGCGGATTACTGTGCACGCACCACATGCCTGGCGGCTGTGGGCACAGAGAGGAACAAGACCAGGGCCTGTGTGCAAAGAGCTGGGGCTCGGTAGCACTGAGGTGGAAATACACAGGGGCTGTAAGAGGAAGAATGAGGGCAGCCTGATCGAAGGGCTGTACTGTGTTATCTCAACTCTTGGGACAACTCAGAAATAGTACCACTGTGATCCTCTCCATTTTAGGGATGAGAAGACTGAGGCAGAGGGAGATGAAGTGGAGAAGCTGGGGTTTGAGGCAAGTCACAATCTGACTTTAGACTCTAGCAAACGCTCCAGATACCTGAGCCATGGGGTCAGCCCAGGAACGCCAGGAAAACTGTAGGAGCCCCCAGGAGGAGAGGGACTCATGGTGCTGATAGCCGTCAGGGATTTGTCCCCTAGAAACAGAGCACCCTGCCCAGCGATGTAGGTGCAGGGACGCTGAGCGGAGCCTTGGCTGCAACTCCAGACACCCGTGCAGCCAGAGGGCGGAAGGGCGTCGAATAGACCAGGGGTATAGTTTGTGGTCATGTTACACAGCTGTTAAAAGCAGTTAGGCAACTCTGTGTGCTGATGAGGAATACATCCAGGATACATGAAGTGAAAAAGAGCAAGGTGCATGTTTAACGTAACTCCATTTACCTACGTTTAAAGAAAACATCCATGTATTTGCTGGTAGATCCACAAACACATTCTGGAAGGGCATGTGTGGGGTGACCCTGCGTGGGAGGGTAGTGGAGAGGAGTGGGGCAGACGCTTGCTTTTCATTTCATACCATGTGCGTGTATTACTTTTATCGCTTACAGAAAACACAGTCTAAACTTTTTCTAAAATTAGCCTAAAGGGGGGCGCCCTGGGTGGCTCAGTCGGTGAAGCATCTGCCTTCAGCTCAGGTCGTGATCCCAGGGTCCCGGGATCGAGTCCCGCATCGGGCTCCCTGCTCAGTGAGGAGTCTGCTTCTCCCTCTGCACCACCCCCCCTTGTGCTCTCTCTTCCTCTCTCTCTCTCAAATAAATAAATAAAATCTTTAAACAAAATTAGCCTAAGGGTGTCGGGAGGATCTTGACAGGGAAGGATGAGGAAAGGAATTGCTGGTGGGAAGACCAAGAACAAAGACACAGGAGAGAGGGACCCCTGGTTATAGTTGGGGAGGTTCTGGCCCCCGGTTTGGCTGCATCCCAGGACGTGCTGGGAGGCTGACGGGCAACAAGTGTGGGGAGGCAGGAGGCGTATGCTGGAGGCTCTGCTAGGTCAGGAGAGGTGCTTTTATTTTTCTGTAAGCAGTGGGGAGTTTTTAAATTGGAACACTGCATCTAATATATTACTCTTTGAAAATTGCTTTCATGGACATGGTTACATTTTTAATCTTGACAGCAATCCTGCAGGGTCGGCAAACCAAGCGTTATAGATGAGGAAACAGGCTTTGTGGAATAAAGACCACACACTCAGAGTTTTAAAATGAGAACACTTTGTCCCTTGTAAGCACTGCTTTGTGGGAAGGCTGGGGAAGGGAGCAAACAGCCACCAGCTCCCCGACACATGAGAATAATATAGGCTTTCTTTCATGTCTGAGCAATCCTGAGACCCCCCTCGTGACATTCAGATCAAGAAGGTGAGACATTGTGACCCCCAGAAAAAAAGGGCAAGGGGACCCTGAAGTCATAAGTTGGTGAACTCAGAAAGGTTCTGATGATACACCCTTGAAGGATGTCCCTGTGTTTGTCCAGGAGAGTAAAATACTAGGGGTCTCTTTGTTAGCTGAGATTCAAAGAAATGTAGAACACATAATAGAGGCTCTAACTTCTCTCTGTCATCCCGCCCTCCTTTCAGAAGGTCATGCCCAGGAAGGGGCACCAGATGCTGACTTTCTTGTCAAGGTTCGGAGAGGTTCAGGGCTGTGTCCAGGGCCACGCAGCTGGTAGAGCCGAGCTGTGTACGGTACCAAGGCCCGTGTTCTTTCCAGCCACCCTGGACCATACCCGTATTTCAGAAGGGTCATTCTGGCTGTGCTTAGGACAGACAGGCTTGGCAAAGGTAGCAAGGCTAGTGAAGAGGCTATTGCAAAGGTCCAGGTCAAAGGGATGGGGAAAGAGGCTGGGGGACCTGAGCGGAGAAGAGTATCAGAAAGGCATCCCCTCGGGCGCCTGGGTGGCTCAGTTGGTTGAGCGACTGCCTTCGGCTCAGGTCATGATCCTGGAGTCTCGGGATCGAGTCCCGCGTCGGGCTCCCCGCTCCGCAGGGAGTCAGTCTGCTTCTCCCTCTGACCTTCCCCCCCTCATGTGCTCTCTCTCTCTCATTCTCTCTCTCAAATAAATAAATAAAATCTTTAAAAAATAAATAAATAAAATCTTTAAAAAAAAGAAAGGCATCCCCTCTACCCAATATCTCGCTGGGCCCTGGCAGTTAGTATTGATGGTGCAAAGTCGCCACCTAGTGGCGATAAGGCGTGCTGCACCAAGGAACGCCACCTGGTCTAGGGAACCTGGGGAAGCCATGACTCATCTTTGATCCCTCCACCTGCTTTCTCACCAGAAAACCTGGCAGCCCCACCTAAATACGACAGGCATTAAGGCCACAGGCTCGCTCTTCAGAGGGCTTATCGGCATTAGTAAGATGCAAAAGCCTATGTAACTTCTCTCTGCCATCTTGCCCTCCTTTCAGAAGGTCATGCCCAGGAAGGGGCACCAGTGACCCTCTCTTTATTCGGGTGCTCGTGAGCTACAAGACCCCAGGTACTCTAAGAGCTGCCTGCCACCCAGGTGAAACGCTGGGGCGTCCAGTGTCCAGAGGCTGATGTGGTCAGACTCTTGGGGCCCCGAGATGCTTTTCAGCTCTGTCTCTTCCTGGTGCTGTCCCCTCCCCCGTGGTGACCTTGAAATCTCTGCCTCTCTCCCGGCAGTCTGCTCCTTGCGCGTGCTGTTCTCAGTCCTTTATCAGCCCTCCTCTGAGGCATCCCAGTCTTACCCCAGATTTGGTCATTCTGA